AGGTCCTTGCTCAAAGTGAATATATTTATTGAAAGTGAAATTAAATACTTAATAATGATGCAATTACAATACGATTTTTATTTACTATATGTATAAGAACAATTGAAATCGCATATACACATATATATTCAATAAGAATCGTATTATATTGTATATATAAGTACTGCTGTTCCTTTTGCCTTCATGCCATAAGTGGATTTAAGTAAAAGTGAAATGTAAATGAAAACCCAATGAAATGCACTTTATTTTAATTACCTTAAACAATAATAAAGATGTATATATATAGACGGAAGAGATGTTAACGTGGCGTACGTATATCGCATATGAGATACAACATAGGCTGAGTGAAACTTCAATGTGATTTAATGAATAATTAAACAGATTTTAAAGAGTCCTCCCAACTTAGTTTATATACCTTATATATTAAAGCTGAACAACACCTGCAATAACAGTTAATGGCATGCCAATGAGCGCACATCCACAGGCTTTAGCTATCGTATATTAGACTTAAATGTGACAAGTCCCCTGGTAATAAAATATATATATATATATAATTGCAATATATATGTATATACATATATTTATATATTTATATATATGTATATGCAATTGTTATTTGGAGTATTTCCATGCGATTTGTATGCGCGCTTAATCCAAGCGAAAGGCAATCTATTTCGGTGGCTTTTGGATTCTCGACCCGAAACTACTCGATGTGACAGTGAGCAATGAAATGCACTTGAGCTCATCTGTGAAACTAATCACAGAAGCCAACCTTAAATCCGAGCGCTGAATGCTGCTAAAGCAATTCGAGTATGTCACTCAGTCAGCAAAATGAATGGGGGCGGGTGGCTGGAGCCCTAGCGATTCGAATTCGCATATCCCTTGGCTTTTGGTGTGGGTGGTGGGTCATATGGCTGCTTGAATGTCTTGTGGTGCGCATTGTTGCGCTTTCAATTGCACTTTTTCGCTGTGCCAACGAAAGGCATCAGCTGGAAGTCCCCAAGCGGCGCCAGGACAATTGCAAGCGCCAGCCCATTGAATCCTGGCAAGCTCATTTTCACGGCAATTGCAGCTGCCTCTCCTGTTGTAAAGAATATATACATATGTATGTATATATGTATTGGGGTATGTTTGTGTGTGTGCTTTACGGCTTTTAATTAATTGAATATTGTACTATATTTCTAGCTTGGATTTCGTTTTCCTTTTACTTTTTACTTCTTGGTATTTTATACAATTTCTGATATTTTTTTCCGTTTTTTTTTTTTTCTGTCTGCCAGTTTCTATTGAATCGGCACATCTAGGCTGGCAGGCTGGCGCAGCTTTCCTGCATTTCCATTGAACTGCATGTGGAAAATTTTCTATCGACTGGCAGCAGCGTTGCGTAAAATTAGAAAGTATTGTGTTGAACTTCAATGGCTAAATTTATAAGTGAGAAAATTGCATTGCAGCTGCCACAGCAGCGGCAGCAGCATCGAATGAGCATAGCATGTTTACGTTACGCTGTCTCTCTTTCTCATTCTATTAGTCTCTCTTTACAATGAGGGCCTTTCTCGAGTGGATTGTATGGCTACAGAAATGCAATGTGTAGTAATTAATTAAATGGCTTTAATTAAGGCTCTGAGTAGCTCTCGGCTTTCAGTTGATGTAGACGTATTTATTTTTCATTTATTTGAATAAGTCTTTGTTATATTTGTTCAACTAGCGTTAGCATATATTGGGCGTATAATAAGCGGCATTAATGAATATTATATTATATAAATTTTGTTTGGCTATAATAGTGAAAATATAGAAACGGCTAATTGATTAAAGTTTGATCCACAAATAGATGAAAATTATTAAGCATCAAACTGGGCATGTATATTCTTGAAAATTCGAGATCATTTGATCGATTAATATCGAAAATGGGTTAATGATAATAAATGGTTTTTATACATAGGAATATATATTTGAAATTTCAACCCTTTAGCTTTTGTAGTTTACTGACGAATATTTGGCGCCCTTTTGGCCACCTGGCACCTGCTCTATCGTAAACGCAAACAGTTTGCTATTAAGCTTTAAAGATAGAACAAGCCCTATTGATTATTTTTCTATTGCTTTTCAAATATAATAAAATTTTTAGTCCTAAAAAAGACCCATAAAAGTCAATTATTATAGCTAGCAATTAGCATATTTTGATTTTATTTATATGTCACAATTAACCTAATTTTGTGCATAAAAAGCGTTTGCTTTGCTTTTATTGCTATCAAACACAATAAATTGCTATGTTTATAGAGCTAATGCTAATCCCAAATCCAATATGAAGCGTGTCAAAAGCTGCATAAAAGTTCAATAAACTCTAAAGATTCCATTATAAAATCAATATGCAATATTATGAATATTTTATTTAACGTCACACACAGAACCACACACCTACACACACCCACACACATCCACTCACACGCACAGTAAAATCGGCAAAACTAAAATCCCCAAAAGGCAATTGATTAGCTACAAAATGAGGACAATTGGATAGCCGCAAATGTATTTTAATATTGGGTACCGTATTACTGAAATGTTTGCGCTCTCTCTCGCTCTTTTTGTCCCTTCTATCTCTCTTGCGTTACATCTAACGCCCATTGAGCAAATGAAATAAAAAATTTATGTAAATCGTTGAGCCACGTGAAATTCAATGAATTTCGATTTGTTTCCTTTTTTCAGTTCCCTTTTTTTTTTGGTCCCTCGATAAATCACCCACTGCCAACATTTTAAAGTTGCATTGGAAACGATGCGACTTAAATGTCCCAAATAGTATTTGCCCCATAGTTATGAATAAGCGGGAGCTGGTGGGGCCAGCGCCAGCACTACCAAAGCGAAAATGGAGCAATCGCTTGAAGCTGTCGCCTGTAAGGCAAAAATTGCACAAAGGCAACGCCGATTGGCAAAAAAGGAGAAGAAAAGAAAACAGAAAATAGTAATGGAAGGGTTCTCAGAGGCACGTGGAAGTTTAAATGCGCTTCCTGAGAGATAAAGAGATAAGGGATCAATGTGAATTTAGATTGCTTCTATCGGTGTTGTATCTGTATCTGTATCTGTATCTGTATCTGTATCTGTATCTGTATCTGTATCTGTA